TCCTTATCTGATCAGACAATTTTTTGTTTTCTGTTGTCAGATTTAATCTACTGGGGTGAATACGGCCTCATCTCCATGACTTCTCAATCTGCTCCAAAGTGGTCCACTATCAGATTTCTAAACACTAACAGAGAGACTTTTTAATTTTGCCACAGTGTGATATTGCCAGTGGCCTTCAGGGTTGCATTTCTACTGGCTGATTTACTGCGGTGTAACTTCAAATCAACTCCAAACAAACAAAAATATCCCCAGAGTTAGAGTCTACAACCATTGTAGTGAGATGTAGGGCAAAGCTATTTGTTTTGATTTAATTTAACCAGTGCTTTCATACTTTACTAAGTCTTCCACATAACTTAAGGGAAACTGCAAACTTTCATCCTTTTTTACCATTAAAATCAGAATTGTAGAGTAAATAATTGAAATCTATGCATATCTCACAAGATTTGCACACGGAAAACCAATCTTAGAAGCAATTTAGCATGACTGTCCCTTAAACAGCCATTGCTTTTATTCCAGCCATCTTTCTACTAGACATATAATACAGCCTGGAGCTGTTGGCCGGCGTGTCACAGCAGTCAGCTGTTAAATGATCTATGTCCTGAACAAGCAAACAGCTTGAGTGCAAACACTAAACAAACCAAAGTGATTATTTAACGAGCAATTATGCCTAAAAGCGAAGTGACGCCAACACTGAAGGGTCAAACCACCGACGAACATCATGGCTGAGAAATAAGTTTCCTGTACAAACAGAAGTAACAGTCCATTACATGCTGATAACCTATTAAAAGCTGACATTTGCTTGGGTCCTCTTGGCAGGGATGCTTCTCTTCCTTAGGATAGTTATTGTTAGCAAAAGTCAGACAAAGAGTTTGTCTTTGGGGTTGCGAGTGTTTCAGGAAATAAGTAGTTGCTTAAGAGGCAAGCTGAAGAATTGCGGTTACTCAATTCAGTATATGCTCTGACTCAGACAATGAAAAACAATTGCTTTCACTTCATTTAATTATGGGGAATGTTGTTTTTAGTGCATAACTTTAAAGCTTCTCTAAAATGTTTAGCAAGTCTTTAAAAAAAAGCCATCCATGTTGGAACTACACTCACATCACAGTAGTTAAAGTTCAGCAGAGAAAAAAAATTCACCTCCACTAAAGCATTTAAATTACTAGATTGGAACCAGATATTTGCTGTTTTCTTCTTTTATTTCATTGCCATAAAATTGTACAAAGGAGTTGGTATTGATGTTACTATATTAAACTCTTTGCTGGAGGATAAAAAAAAACATTTCAGTATCTATGTTTTAGTTGACAACTAAAAAAAAAAAAGAAATATGTTGCATTGAGTTTTCTTGGTACCAGGCCCAAAGATGAGGTTTCACTTACCAGGTAGAACTTCTGACAGGGCAGGGTGATCTGTTTGACAAGCTGGTGAGGATTCTCAGTCATCCAGGTCATTTCAAAGAAAGAAAAGTAAAAATAATCCACTGGACTTTGTTTCCAAGTTTGAAGACAGTTTGCTTCCAATCCAAGAAGCTTTTTTAATTAAAAATGACAGGAATAGCATTGAGTTTGCGGTTTTATACATTAGCCTAATAAAGCCTTGTTTTTGTTTTGAAAACATGCAAATTGAAACGAACGAAGGGGTCCACCCCTTTGGAATGGAGGTCGTTTGGCTTCTTTTGTTAGCCTGCAATGCCCCATACTAAGTGTCTGAAAGGTCGGTCGTTAAAGGGAATTGTTTGCCTGGCTGAATAGGCGAGGGCCTCCGCTCTGCTGTATAGGGGCTGGGGCTGCCATGATAGTGGGAAGGAATTGCTGCATTGTAGGTTTTTAGAAAGGTGAAACCTGAGTCCACCCACTCTGTTTAAGTTTGTTTTTTGTGCTTGGATGGGAAGCGAAACATCTTCAAACTTGGAAACAAAGTCCAGTGGATTGTTTTTAATTTTCTTTTTTTGGAATGATCTGTTTGACAATAAAGACCCAGCTCCACCACCGGATGCTTTGCACAGCAAGAGAGATGGTCTCTATGGTAACCGTACAAAAAAGAATGACTGTCATGTTGGTTTCACTGGTGTGACCCAATTATGCAGAACACCACTGAGACGGAAACTGGAGTAAAAGGTTTAACAGAGTTTATTGACACAAGCACTGAGATAATGACTGGTTCTGGTTCAGGCCTGGGAAACTGGTTCACCGGAGTCTGCGTGGGAAACAGTTCAGTTAGCGTTGCGCATAGGAGTTTTATTCTTGACAGTTTCAGATTTGTACCTTGAGGGTTCTTGATTAAAGCCTTGAGAGGGAAACTGTTGGATCTGGAGAGGGTTTGATCAGCAGAGTCCGCAAGCTGCTTCAGCGTCTTACTTCTTAGGATTGAGCAGACCTTGACTTTGAGTTTCCAGCTCTTGGTCCAGAGCTGCACGGAGGTTCAGAGAGAGGCTTCAGGTTTGGCTCAGAGGGCAGGCTCGGCAGGTTAAGCTCTTCCAGAGCTTCACTGGAGAAAAACTGGTTTCCTGGAAGACAGAGACAAAATTTAGAATCCAGTCTGGATTCAGAAGTCGACAGAGGTTCTCAGAGATGCTAGGCTTAGGTGCTAACCAACTGGATCAACACTGCGGCGTTGAGGCAAGGTCTGAAGACAGCTTAAGTACTGTGGATCCTCTGATGATGGAATGGGCTGCAGCTGTGCAGGAGGCTCAGCTCAGGAGGATCCACGGCGGACTCTGCTGGAGGAAGGTGGTACTTCTCCAGCTCCCAACAATGACATAGCCGGATGCTATTTTTCTTTTTGCTGAATGAGTTCTAGGAAGCCACTTCGTTTCAAGTTAACTCTCAACCACCCTCGGTCAGAAGTGATAATTTTAAGGGTTGAAGGGTACTTCCCCCTTCCCAATGAGTGATAGAATGCAAGTGATAGTAATGGGGGAAGGGCCTTAACTTACCGTTAGGACAGATTGGTCACGACTCCGCCTCTCTACATGGTGCCTGCGCATCTATTGCATCTTTGTTATTTTTCACCGCTGTCACAACAAATCCCATGACGTTTTGTGAAGCTTTTACTCTTGACCAATACCAATGTTATTCTGGATATATCTGCACATCTAGTGACCATGGATAATCACCACTTTTCAAGGTGGATTGAGGGAAATTTTGAGTCCACTACTTTTTTAGGCATTCAGACACCCTATATAGGGATTAGGGCGACATTCGGACAAACCCAATGAAATATGGAACAAAGTGAATAAAAAAAATGCGCTCCAATTTCTCCATACCTATTGAAAGTGGGACAATATCTGTGTTAAATTTCATACCGTTTACCATTTTTTCATGTCCATAATGTTCATTCTCATTTGTGCTATTCCTTAAATTGTGTTATGAGATGTTTCTTTTGAAGATCTTAAATCCTGTGATCTCAGACAGCATTCAAATGAGTTCTTGTTTTAACAGGTCTCACAGTGATCAGTCCAGCGTGTGGCTAATAAAATGAAATTAAGCTGTTGATGTGGTTGATCAAAGGTTCTCAAGAATTAACAAGGCAGAGTTTCCCCATTGGTTCAGTTTGGTTCAATGATCTTTTTTCTCTTAATGAATGAACTAGTTGTTTAAAAATTGCTTTTTGTGTTTACTAATCAAAAAAATAGACAAGAAAACCCTGAATTTGTGTATGCTGCCTAATAAAGTGAAAATGAATTAGCTATTCTAGCCACACTAATAATAATATGCTCAGGGAAACAGAGTAGTTCTTGCAGGCAGCTTTCCAGCAGAACAAGGAGCTTATCTGTGCCTGTGGCACCCGATCAGGGCACATGTGGGGGAGTGATGGGATCAGTCAGATAAGCCTGAAATTACACAGCATTAGAGGGAAAACATGGTTTGGAGGCTGGGGAAGCTGAGTCATCGAGAGTCAGAATTGAAACTAGTCACAGGTTAAGTTGCTGCATCGTTTGAAGGTTCTGAAAACAATATCAGAATTAGATTCTGATACGCTCTATTGCTGAATATAAAAGGAAAAAAGGCGTCAATTTTTGAGTTTAGTTTTAAATTTTATTATAACAGGTCAAAAAAAGGAAAACCTTCCAAAACTGCAAACAAATTAAAGACAGAAAACTGTATATTAGATACTAAAACTCAATATGAAGCATAATCTGGTGTTTTTTTTGTCATACACACACACAGTTAAAATAAATCTAGATTCATTCAAACCCCCTGAATTTCTCCATGACATCTTCCTTGAGGATCTCTCACTGAAGCTATTTAAGTCCAATCCCGTATCTTTGTGGTGTGACCTGTTTGCAGGGTGTTTGTGCACGTGTGTGCAACTAGGTGGCCCACGTGTTTTCATTCAGACTATCATGTGCTGCTTCATGGTTCTCTGAATGTGAGTGTGAATAAACAGCCTGATTAATCTCCTCACTCTTTCCAGCCTCATCCATTTTTATGGACATGTAGCGTTATTTATGTCCTTTAGCTATTTTACTGCTTAAGCATTAAAGTTTTAGAGATCTAATCATTCAACCTAGGAAAAATAACCAAATTGCAACACCAAGAACAAACTAAATGCACCAGAATATGTTATCAATGTAAGATTTAAAGATTTTCAATATACATTCAGACAAAATTTCTAACATGTTAAGAAGATTATCATCTGCAAAGATACTAATTTGCCAATAATTTTGGTCTATTTGTTAGAAAAGAAAGATTTTTTTTTTTTAAATACCAAGATGCATTTTCGGTGCTCTGCCCTCCTCCCACTGTTTAACAACATGACTAATAGGGTAATTGGTATCTCTGAAATAACCTTAGACACTGTATGTGTACCTGGTTGTTAGTCCAGTATGTCTCTGTGTTGTCATTGTGATGGATTGGTAACCTCTCAGGGGCGTGCCTACCCTTCCTTGAAGTATTCGTTAATAATAAGGAAATGCTCATAACCAAATTTTTTTAAATGCTAGTTATTGTTTTTCTCATAGTCTCTGCCCTTTTGGAATAACTCCCTACTTCCTTTCCCAGAAGATGCTCCCAAGGCATTTGGCATCCCGCTTTCCCAGGCGATTGCCAATGACCAGGCCTACAAGCGGCGTCAGGACGCCCTGAAGGAGAGTAGGCGCGACTGTCTGGACCTGGAGGCCAGCGTCTTGCGCTTCAGAGCTGAGAAGAGGCAGTTCTTCAATGGGAACAAACCTCTAGGGAGCTCGTCGTCCATCACAGGAGGAGGGCCCGGCTCACCGTCTGCAAACTCTGTTGCTCCAGCACCGTGTTTTGATACCCAGAGCAAACCGCTGTCGCCCACGTTTATGGACAACACCAGCAGAGGACAAAGAAGGGTGAGATGGATTTTTGTTCTTTTTAAGTTCAACAACTGAGGCGTGCATAAGGACTTCCATTAAACTGAAGTTACAAAAGCCTGAGTATTGCAGATTTCTGCAGATCGTAGATGTTGTTACCTTGCAAGCAAGATGTATTGTTGCCAGATTTGTGAATTCAGAAACTCCCAAAAAATCATTTTGCCGTAAATGAATAGATTCATTGTTGATATCTTGCACGTCATGTGTGAAACGTCAAACAGAAGAATCAAAACAAACACGGCTGCCCCATTTTAGTTGGAATGCGCTCCATTGCTGTTTTTGAAAAAACAATTTGTGCCTTTGTGGATGAGAGAGATGTTTGATTGTTCCTCCCAACTGGATGTGGTTAGAGTTTGATTTATCAGTTAACTCTTTGAGTTGTGAAACATTTCAAGAATTGGATACATCAAAGCTGCTTAGATGTTTTGGGTTGTGTGCTAAAGCATAAATCCTCCTCATTCACAGGTAACTAACAGGAAAGTCCCAAAACAACTTTTTTTTTTTTATTTAGATACAATACAGATATTGGAGCTTTTAGTGTTGACCAATACCAATGTTGACCCGCTACAATATAAACATCAATCGTACAAATGTTTATTCTTATTTTGTAGTGTGGAATGTTAGAAAGGTCTTGTTCAAATGGTATAATTCATAAAGAGAACAAAAATTCATCCATCCATTATCTGACACGCTCGTCCCAATTGGGGTGCTGGTGCCTATCTCCAGCAGTCAATGGGTGAGAGGCAGGGTCCACCCGGGCAGGGTCCACCCTGGACAGGTCACCAGTCCATCACAGGGCAACACAGAGACAGACAGAACAAACAACCTTTCATTTAAACACCCACACCTAAGGACTATTTAGAGAAGGCCAGCAACCTAACAGTCATGTTTTTGGACTGTGGGATGAAGCCAGAGTACCCAGAGAGAACCCAGGCATGCTCAGGAAGAACAAGCAAACCCCATGCAGAAAGACCCTGGGCCAGAAATTGAACCCAGACCCTTCTTGCTGCAAGGCAGCAGTGCTACCCACTGCGCCACTGAGCAGCCCAACAAACAACAAAAATTCAATTCAGTTTATTTATATAGTGCCAATTCATAATACATGTCATCTCAAGGCACTTTATAGTTAACCAGATCATACAGTCAAATTGATTCAAAGTTTACTACCTAAGGAAAACCAGTTGATTGCATCGACTCATTGACTCAAATACAATCCCTCACACTAAGCATGCTTGTAGCGACAGTGGAGAGTAAAAACTCCCTTTAAACAGGAAGAAACCCCCAGCAGAACCAGGCTCAGTTTGAGCGGCCATCTGCTGAGTCTGACTGGGGTTCAAGGAAACAAGCAGAGATACAAAAAGCAGCTGTAAAAGGCGGCCCCGTCCAGGAAACACAGCAAGGCAGACAAGTTCTGATCCAGCTCCCATGTCAGAGGATGAAGAGAGCACATCCAGCTGGTCACAGTTAGAGAAACAGGGCTACACTGAAAAACAGGCCGATCTCCAACATCTATAAACAAGTATGTTGATGGCAGCAGCACAGCTGATATTTCTCTCCAGGATGGAGTCACAGCCAAACAGGAACAGACCAGATGAAGCTACTATGAGAAAAAGCAGAGAGAGCATAAAGTCTGCAGAGTGGGAGAATAGAGATAGAATGAAGGAGAATGATGAAATAGTCAACAACAATAGGTATGACAACATCTGACCTGTTTATTATTAACAAGTGGGTGACATAAACTTGAAATAATATTGTTTCAGTCAGCTTAATTATTACAAAAAATTTTAGATGCAGGTCAATGCACTCCAATATTGTTTTTTTTTGCTGCTATAGGACCGATTGCAGATATCAATACCGGACCGGGTCATCCCTTCTTGCTGAGGTGTGCAGAATACACCTCAGAAAGACCGTGACTGTATCTGCCTGGATGGACTTTAAAATTAAAAATTTTTCCTTTACTTTACTTCTCCATGTCACGTCTCCTTTATTCATCGATTCTTCTTTACATTACCAGGTAGAAACAATTTTTTCCCCAAGAAAAGCTTACATTTACATTTTCTCAGAGGTGCATTACAGGCATATAAAATGTTAGGCAAATTATAAGATTTAGTGTTTTCTATGGACTTAGTCTATTTTACTAACTACTCTTACTAGCCATTGTCCTTCTAACTTAGAGTGTCACTCCCCTTGTTGGGAGGGAAGTTTTTAATCCACTTTTCCAAAGAACATTGTTGGAATTCATTTTTGCACAGCTCTGGGTTCTGAATAGTAATATAAACACTGCATCTCTGAGTTTATTGTTTTTTAGCTGTTGTGTTAAAGATTTGCTTGTGTGCTTTGGTTGCCGACTGGTTACATGTTCTTTCCAGAAGTCAATGAATCCATGCTGGGTTTCCTTCGACAGAAAGCTTTTAACTAATCTGTCTGTAGGATTTGATTGAAGTGACTGTGAAGTGCCTTATGATAATGTGTTGGGACTTAAACAAAATTATTTGATGTAAATTTAATAGCCTACTTTATTTAAATACAAACAACAGACAAATAAAAAAGATCACTTAATAATTTCGAATGGAATTTAAATGTTTTGTAACTCATATGGGTTTTAATGATTATATTGGACTCTAAAATAAAAGGCTAATGGTTAGATCAACAGCTGCAAAGTGCCCTAATCTTCTTTCTACAAAATATGCCCGCATCATCACCCCCCCCAGCACTGTGCTCATGAAGTTTGGCATCACTTCTAAACAGAGGCGTGCATAGACATTTTGGGGGGCAGGTGCTCAGGAGGGGGGGGAGAGCACTTTTTAGCGCACGTGGAACACTTAATTATAAAAAAAAAATACACGCATGTTGAATGAAATTTGACTTTTATTTGTAACATTCTCTAAACGTGAGTTTTCAATGGAAAAAAGTCACATCACCAGCAAAACAGACTAAAGCATACTTCTTTCATCTGGCTCATCTCCCTGTTCTCCCTCATCTCCCTGCTCTCCCTCACCCATCTGCTCTCCCTCACCCATCTGCTCTCCCTCACCCATCTGCTCTCCCTCATCCATCTGCTCTCCCTCATCCATCTGTTCTCCCTCACCCATCTGCTCTCCCTCACCCATCTGCTCTCCCTCACCCATCTGCTCTCCCTCATCCTGGTCTTTTTCTCCCTTTGGGAGAGAGAGAGAGAGAGAGAGAGAGAGAGAGAGAGAGAGAGAGAGAGAGAGAGAGAGACCTCAGTAAAATATTAATAATATTAATAATAATAATAATAAAAAAAAAACGAGTTTCAAAAGGGCATTTTCTTTGATAAAGGGCAAACTTCCTAGTACTTTAGCACCACCTAGTGTCTATGTATGCACGCCCCTGGTCTCCAACTATAATTAAACAGTCATAATCAACGCATATCACAGACAGGAGGTCAGTAAAATCATTAAAAAAGTTTGACGTGGACTTAGGAGGCCTGCATGTAACACAGTACACCCTGGACAGGTCGCCAGTCCATCGCAGGGCAACACAGAGACAAATAGGACGTACAACCATTCACGCACACAATCACACCTAAGGAGAAACTAGAGAAGCCAATTAACCTAACAGTCATCTTTTTTGGGAGGAAGCCGGAGAACCCGGAGAGAACCCACGAATGCTCAGGGAGAACATACAGACTCCATGCAGAAAGACCCCGGGCCGGGAACCGAACCCAGAACCTTCTTGCTGCAAGGAAGCAGTGCTACTCACTGTACCACTGAGCACCAAAATAAAAGCAGTATAAAACAGAAATAACAACAAACATGTAAATGAATCAAAAAGGTGTTTTGAGAAGGTTCATCAAATAAAATAAGAATCTAATTAACTCAGCTACACATGGGCTAATGAGCTGATAAGGAGCAGGTGTGAATAGGACTAACAAGAAGGGAGCCAAGGGGAAAGGAATAGACACAAGGGGGCAGCAGAGAGTAACTCAAGAGCTAAACACTGACAGAAAACAACCACAAAGACACAGAATAACACTTCAACCAAAAATAAACTTAAATGGAGTGAAGAACCATGAACTGACTGTCCCCTCATCTGATGTGTCCACTGAATCTGTTGCTTGGGTTGTCTCTCTCTCTGCTAACTGACCTGGTTCCTCACATACATTGTCAGAAACTGGCTCTAAAAAAGCTTTTTCCTCAGTCTGTTGGTCAGCACTGTTAGGTCCGCTTTCACATTCCTCCATTTCTGAGGACGAGTCAATTGAAATGCTTTCAAAATCAGTCCTCTGGTCTGAATGTTGTTGTTTCCGTGCTAACTGACCTGGTTCCTCACATACATTGTCAGACAACTCTAAAACTGAGTGTAGAAATTCTTGTTCCTTGGTCTGCTGGTCAGCTGGTGTTGCTTCTCTCTCATAAATGACGAGTTCTGAGGGAAAGTCATTTGATAAATATTCAGAATGTCTAACTTCTTCTGGTTGGCTTTGTTTACTTGGAGAGCAAGCCGGCACGTTATTTTTTTCCTCCATAGCCACTTCACTTTGATTTGTAGCTTCTTTGCTCAACTTCTTCACCCGTTTTTCTATATACTTGTTAGCTTCCTTGAGCGTTTTCTTTTGCTGTTTTGCGATCTTGTACTGACTTTTCAGTGTCTTTAGATTTATTACCTCATCTTTCATAGTTTCCCACTGCTTTAGAAGTTCAACATTCCTCAAGCATAAAGCGTTTATCTTTTCATTTTCTGCAGCAATGATCTCCTTAAAACTGTTCTGAGCTCTTAGCTCCTGTTGAAGCTTCTTGATCCACTTTTCAAATTTTTTGTTTAAGGATATTTCGGCTTTCATCCGTTTTTCCACATCAGGGTGTGAGACCATTTCAGGAAAACCTTTTTCAAGATGTTCGTTGAGTAAGCGGAGTTCTAGGGCGTTTCTCCTGTTTGTTCTACGCATTTCTGTTACCTGAGCGAGATCAACGTTCTTTGCCCAGAAATTCATTTTTTAGATGTTTTCTTGCAGT